TTGTTTTTACTCTTTACTGTAATTCTAGATGCATAAAACATTAATTGTTTGACAACTAATTTTAAGTTGTAGTAACATTAATCACTTATGCATAAATATTTTTCCTATTAGACTATTTTTTTCTCTATTTATTTTTTTAATTATTTTTTTGTACATATATAATAAGTGCATTGATATCAAATTAAAATGTTTAGATAAATTATATATGTCAATTATTACCAAATGCTATAGTTTTAATTATGATATTTGACTATATTATCTTATTTCCTCACATTTCCTTATTAAATAGTATATCATAAAAAACTATATTTTTTTAAACTTGATCTTTTTTTATGTATATAGATATTTCTAATGTGAAAGTTATAATTCTTACTTTCACTTCGTCATCAAATAATAATTCTATTAATATATTAAATTTAATCTATCTAAGTATTTCCAATAAAAAAGGTATATTCAATTGAGATATACTTTTTAATGATTAGGTTGACTACATTTTAGCATTTTTTTTTTTCAATACCATAAATTATTCATTAAGCTAATATGATTTAAATATAATTTTTGCTATATTTTTATATACTTTAAGTGCTTCTGATTGGTGAACATAATTGATAAATTAATATATACAATTAAAGCTGTCAATTTGGCCCGTGGCCCGTGGCCGGCCCGCCCCGCCCCGCAAAAAGGGCGGGTTAGGTTGAGATTTTATAGGCCCGCTGGGGAGCGGGCCTAAACGGGTCAGCCTGCGTGGGCCGCGGTCCAAGGCGGGGCGGGCCCGCCATATTTAAAGATTATGGATATATATGATTATTATAATGTTAAGTTAATGTAATAATGTTATATTAATATACTTATATTGATTATTGAATTACTCATTCTGAGAATCAGACGTGTTGACAACCGATTTAGTCCGGACCGGATCGGATACTCAGCCCCTCCGGATCGAGACAAGAACCCGGCCTGATGTGAGAGTGCCGAGCTGGACCACGGACTAGAGGGGCGGAAAACCGCCCTGAGAACAGATTCTCAGTCCGGCGCCCGACTCAGACCGGGGAGCTGCCGACCTGGATGGGTGCCGGACAGGAAGGAGACTATTCGTAATCTCATGAGCATCTACGAACGAAGTGCCGACCTGAAAGTATGAGGAGGCCGACCAGGGACGACGCGCGGGCCTCAATGAACATTAAAATATTCCCACTTGGGAGGTCATCATTGGACGATGGGACAGGTAATCATGGCCTAGCCCCCTACCAGCCAGCCTGAGTCAGCAAAGCCATCCAGCATTAAATGCCCCCCATGATGGCATTTAATGCCCGTCAGGCAATGATTGAAGAAACCTCAAATCGCATAAAATAACCGTCAGACGGAAGCCGAACTGCTCTGCCAAATTACTGTGCGACAAGACCAGTGAACAGTAGCTGAATAGTGCCACATTAAAGACCACTATAAATAGCAGCTCACCTCATTTATTTTGGGTTGTTGAATCCCAACTAACTCTGCTTTTCATCTTTACTTTCTCTCTCTAGAAATTGTAAAAACTTGTTTTAAGAACCGTAAGTATATCACAAGTGCCGACCTCGTACGAGAGGCCGACCTCGTGATCGTTTAATAAAATAGGGTTTTATTCCGGACCATTCTCCCATTTCTCAACCTTACTTTCGATATTCTTAATTTTTAACCGTTGACCGAAAACGCTCGTCAACAGTTTGGCGCTAGAGGAAGGGCACCATAAGTTACTTGGTTTCAATTGTTCGACCTTGTGAAATCCCGTATTCACTCACTTCCATTCGCTTTAAATCTCGTCCAAGATGGCCTCATCCAGCAACAACGAGTCAACCCAGCAGTCCGGCGCTCAGCCCCGCCGACGCAATGGCGAAGAAACTTCTCGCCGCAATCAACAAGGGACCCAAGCCCCCGTCCCTCCTGTCCCTACCTTTGCTGCTGCCATGCAGCATCCCGATGTGCTCAAAGCCTTGGAGGGGGTTTTCGCCAGAGCCCTAGCAAGCCAGGCACCCGGGGGGAACACCGCGGCAGCCACGGAAAACCCCGTCAACACTCTGCTCCAAACCCCCGACAAGGAGGCCGGGGGACAGCAGAAAAAACCCACCAAATCCAAGACGACGGCTCAATCACCCAACCGCTCCGCCCAAGTCAGACGCGAGAAAAACGCCAGACCGGCGCCAACAGAGCAGACTGGCGAAAGCCAGCCAGACCGAAGCCTCCAGGTCATACGGCGCTCCGTGTACCAGCGCCTTGGGGACAAAACCCAGGCCAACCGCGACCTCTGGGACGTGATTGAGCGAGGCAAAAACATCGGGCGTGACGCGAACGAAGTCGCGGCCCTCAAGCGCCGAATTGCCGAATTGGAAGGTCGGCGCTCTCCCCCAAGGGGCACATCACCTCCTCACTACTCACAAACCACCCCACGTGTCGTGGACCACGCTTCCCCCCTCTCTCCTGACATTCTGCGCGAGCCCGTACCCCAAAAAATCAAGGTGCCGCAGCTCGGGCTTTACGATGGAAACTCGGATCCCGACTCTCACATCGGCCTTTACACCTCATGGATGGACCTGCACGGCGCGACAGACGCCTTACGC